TTCTTGTGATACTTTTGGTCAATATAGGAAGTGGAACACAAACTGTTTTTGAAATTGTTGAATCCCCGAAAGTAAAAGCTTCCACTTGTTGCCAAGAGGCTAGCGGAGGGACACTTGTCTCTGCCGGTATGCGTTACTTACCCTGTTCAATGAAAAATATCCCACCATCAGGCAACATTGCTCGGTACCTGACTTGAGATCTACCGTAAGTAATTTACCCGAGTTGCCGACGTAATTCGTGCCACCGACATTCGAACAGCGTCCGTGCGCGCGTTCGTGTGTGGATTATTCACGAGTGCGAACCACGTGGGCGGAGCCCCAATTGGACGTATTTCTATCAAACGGAACTATGTGCATTAAGGTATGAGCCCTAAGACCCATAAGGATATGTGCATAACAGGGCTCACGTCATAATGCACATTGTTCCGTTTGACAGAAATACGTCCAATTGATGTGATTTTCTCAAATTACCCGGGTCCCAACGCGACCACGAGGTCAGCGGCAACAGTAGCGCAGTCTGGCGGAGGATCACGTAGGCACGCGAATAAACTTTAATCTCCGACGTGCAGGGTAAACGGTGAAGATTATAGAGCATCCCATCAGAGGATGGTTGCTTGCTATAGTTTCAATGCAACTTTACTGCTCAGGAACTGTCTATGAATGACGTCATGGACTCATGGGCCGTTCATAAAATACGCAACACCCGAGGACTGCCTAGAGTACCTTCATAGGGAGAGTATGGACAACTCGATATGTGTAGCTCTCAGGGTCCAAAACGAAATAAGAATAGGTATATTTTTGAAGAAAATTATACGTAGTTTTCCTTAAAATTTTCCGATATTTTAGGCTAAATAAAATTGGGAACAAAATTTTCTGAAAAATTGGAAGAAAAAGATTCAGAATTTCCCCAGTTTTGTGAGTTATTAAAGGAAATATGCCAACGCCTGAAGGTCCCAACGTGGGTCCAATGTTCTAGGGCCCAAAGTGAAAACGAAAATCACCAGAAAAGTGCCGCTGCAAACCTATGAATTTGAAAGACTAATTGATAGGGCTAACAGAGCATTGTAAACAAGCGCTTTTAAGGGTTAAGACTTTGAAACTGAGAAAATGTATGCGAAATCAAAGTTGTATACGTGTCTTTATAATTTTTGATCAGCGCACCTACTCTCGGAGTTTAAATTAGTACCACTGGATAATGCGGGTTCATAGGTTGACTGCCTTTCTGGGCCCCAAGAGCCACATGACCTGATCAAGCCAACCCGCCGTGCTAAGGAAGAACGCCGTATGAACCTTCAGGCGTTGCCATATTTCCTTGAATAACGAACAAAACTGGGGAAATTCTGAATATTTTTCTTCGCATTTTTCAGACAATTTTGTTCCCAATTTTGTGTAAAATATCAGAATATTTTAAGGAAAAATGCGTAAATGTTCCTTCAAAAATACATAGTTTATTCGGGGAAAAGTGGCAACCCTCGAATGTTCATACAGCGTTCTTCCTTAGCACGGCAGAGGAGAGGTCGAACATTAGCGCCTACAAGACTGCATGCATACTTCACGCATTGCGCCAAATATAGTGCGGTCAGCACTGCAGCAGCGGTCGGTGTGAAATGCATAGCACCTACAAGACTGCATGAATACTTCACGCATTGCGCCAAATACAATGCGGTCAGCGCGGTCGCGGCGGCGGAGGTTAAAATTATTAAACCTCATTTATGTTTGTTTTTTCATAATGTTTTTGTTCAGTCCTTATAAATGGAAGGCCTTGTGCACACAAAGATAGGTTTGCGGAACTTAACTCTCGCGCGAAGTTCCGTGAACTTTTGCTAGTAGTGTTGACAGAGCTTTCGCAAAAAAAATGTGTCCAACACGAGTAAACGCGTTTATGCACCCTTCTCCCTCCGGCACATTCACTTGATGGTTTTTACTGAAGTTTCAGGTCGAATGAGAAGGGGGCGGCAAAATTCAGGCGGCCCATGCTGTCGTGCTAAGGAAGAACGCCGTATGAACATTCGAGAGTTGCCAAATTTCCCTTGATAAAACATGCATTTTTGAAAACATTAAGGTATATTTTCCCGTGAAAAGTTCAGATATTTTAGATTAAATTGCGTATAAAATTGTTTGAAAATTTTGGAATATAATATCCGCAATTTTCCCAGTAAATTTTGTTTCTTTATCGGAGGAAACTTGGCAACGTCTGAAGGCTCATACGGCATTCTTCCTTAGTATGGCAGCATGGGCGGCAAGTTGGTAAATTCGGCCCTACTTAGACCTCCATCCCACCCTACCTCGTTCTACCTAGAGTCCCTTTATACTGAGAGTCAAGACAACACCCCTCATGGAGTCACAAACGGGAATAAAGATTACAGAAATTGAACGTTTTTCGTAATCTTTGATCGGCCCATTCTCGAATTCCTTTCTTCGTTCCTTCCCTCATTCCGTTTGTTCCCTGCCGAACCCGTAATTCCCCGGTCCATTCCAGATTATAATCTTTGCAATCGGTGAAACTAGAGTACCTTTATAGACAGAGTATGGCCATTCGTATCTTTTTACTACAGGAAAACTGTTCCGCTTTTTGATTGGTCAACGAGTTTTTAGGCTTCATGATGCTCTTAAGGCCGCAAATAAACAAACAAGATGGCGACTCACCGTAACATCGATAAGAAGCTAAATTTGACAAAAATTTCAATTATACGGCAGTAAGAATTTAAACTAGCATATCTACGAATAGCACACGAAAAAAACACGAAAACTATTGTTAAATCGCCTTTCACCTTTATCACAGGAGGATGTAAGATGTGCATAACCTCAATCTTGCTTGCTGATAACAGCCATCTTGTTGGTTTATTTACGGCCCTAAGAGCATCGTGTCAGCCTATTCGCTCGCGACCAATGAAAAACCGGAACAGAAATGGCCATACTCTGTCTATAAAGGTACTCTAGGTGAAACTGTAATCTTTATTCCCGTTTGTGACACTGTGAAGGCCTAAAATACGGGAACCAATCAGAAATGGATTCACATTGTCTTGACTCTCAGTATAAAGGGACTCTACCTTAGTACGGCAGCATGGGTGGCAAGTAGGTAAATTCGGCCCTACTTAGGCCCCCATCCCACCCCACCTCGTTCTACCTATTACGGCACTTCAGATGCTTCGAACTCCCAAACTTTTATTTTAAAGCCAACATAGGCGGAGTTCACCCCGGTGATCAGGCAACCCGTCGACTGCGCGTAGTAAAGAGTGAAAGTGAAGGATAGAGCAGGGCTGCTGGTCGTTGCGCTGAGGTAACCCTTGACCTTCCGAGCCGGCGCATGATTCATTGACCGTCTTGCGTCCATCATGAACAACCGTCAGTCACCGACCGCCGCCGCGCCGCGCGCAACATGATTTATCGTGCCCATTACATCTACATCTGAACTGGTCGTAGTTAAAACAGCGCGTGTCCATTATTTACTGAACCCTAGAATATAATAATCCCCGTGGCCTGTAGTTAATCTGGGATTGGAGTTGTAAGCTTTTAACATCGACCGATTCACCTATACATCTGTATCGATTCGCCTTTATTGCCGCCCCTCCCGTTCTACCATGCAAAACCGCGTATCTTTACGGTGTTGATAGTAGAGGTACTTGGTTATTGTGGTGGGACAGCGCTGGTCGAATGGTGTCTAACCTAGTTTCGTCAAAGCTCACGCTGCCTTAGCTTTGACCCGATCTGTCGAATATCGTCGGTGCATGGCGGCAGGGTTGCCATTTTTAGAGGAGAATTAGGGGAGAAAGAGGAGAAAGAGGAGAAAGAAGGGAAAATAGGAATGAAGGAGTAAGAAAAAGGAGATGACGAAGATGAGGAGAGACAGAAAAATGGAGAATAAGAGGGGGGGGGGAATAAGAAAGAGTGGAAGATTAAAATGAATTGAAAGGTGAGGAAGAATAAGAGGAACGTAATGAAGAAGAAGGAGAAGTACGGAGAGGAAAAGGAAAATGAAGAAGGAAAAATAGGAGTGAAAGAGTATGAAAAAGGAGAGGACGAAGATGAGGAGGCATTGCAAAATTGAGAATAAGAGGAGGAGAAGAATAAGAAAGAAAGGAAGAGTAAAATGAATTGAAAGATGAGGTAAAATAAGAGGAATATAATGAAGAAGTCGAAGAATGGGTAGATGAATATGAAAAGGAAAGTAAGAGAGATGAGGGGAAGAAAATTGAAAGAAATCGGAAGGAGAGAGAGACTAAGAAGCCGAAGGAGACGAGGAAGAAGAAGGAAAAAGGAGGACTTTTTTTTTTTCATTTCCTTCCCCGGTTTCCTCTTCTTCTACCTCTTACATTTCTATTATCCCTCCCCTTGCCAATACTGCCGTGCTCAGGAAACACGCCGTATGAACATTCGAGAGTTGCTAAATTTCCTCGGATAAAACATGTATTTTTGACGACATTAATGCACATTTTTCTTTGCAATTTGCATATATTCTAGGTTAAATTGCGTTCGAAACCGTCTGAAAATTTTGGAAAATAATATTCACAATTCTCCCAGTAAATTCGATTTTTAATGGAAGAAACTTGGCAACGTCTGAAGGCTCATACGGCGTTCTTCCTTAGCATGGCAGAATGTCACCGATGAATTTCAGAAGTCTGTCGATTAATCAGCGATGATTTGCAAACACTCCGGCAAACTTTGGAAACATTTTCTTTGAGTTTTCCAGCGAATGTCATGGGGTCCTTAATCTAGGCCATCGGTAAATTTTAAGAGAAAATATTCCTAATTTTTCTGAAAAACATATTTTTATCGGAAATTTGGCAACATTCGAATATTCATACGGTGTTCTTTCTTAGCACGAAAGGACACATACCATTGGCAATGAGGAAGACTGAATGCGACTATTCGTGCTCTCAGTACGTGCGTGGTGCATATTCGAAAAATTGAAGGGGAACTCACTTTCGAAAATTAAGCTCACCGTCTAGGCGAATGCTCGGTTCTGCATTAGGTTGATAATTAAATATGAGATAACTTACCGAGCTTTGCAACTAATTGCAGGACAATACTGTCTCCAGCCACTGCCCACCTAACTTCAAACGCCAGGTCATCGTGTAAAACTTCACAGTTTAGCTTTGACTGAAAAAGAAAAAAAAACGAAATAAAAAATTTGGCACTGAATTTGAATTGAGTTCCACGGCAAGAAATTAAGATTTTTGAAAACGGGGTTTGTCTAATTTTTGCAAAAGATTCTCATGCCTCCTCATGACAAAAATGTTTCGTTTTAAAATTTTATTTTAATAAAATGCAGGTGATTTGTTACTTTATTCTTAATCAAGAGAGTCAAAGTTGCTGCGAAAATCGTTCCTTTTGTTGGATCTTTTAATAAATTGGTCCCTGATTTCCCAATTCGGAGATGGCATCAGACGCACAATTGGTTCCTTCCTCTGATTTGCATAGGTTAAATCAATTGAGTGGAAGGAACCAACCACCAACTGCACCGTGATGCATAAATAAATCTTATACAACAATTGACGAGCACCTCCAAATAAATTTGGTATCTCTTTGCTGTACTCTTTCAATTTCATGAAAATTGCAAATTTTCAATGAAAAAACATTAGAGTGATAGTTGATCTCTGTCACCAAAACTTCTAGCTGCAATAACTGAGAGTGTCTTAGATTGAAAGATAAGGAAAAAAAACTAAACATTGAAAAATGAGAAATAAATATTTTCTCCGCCTCTCAATAATGACAGATATTGCCCATAAAATGAGCGAAATAATTTAACTTTCCGCCTCATCCTGTCTCTAGAAATTTATAAATAGGACAAGCAGGACATCAAGTGTCTTTTATTCGCCTATCAAAGGTCCTTCGAATCCGTGACCATAATGATCGTTTCGTCATTTTTATCATCTTTCATTATTGTTCGATCTCGATTGCACCATTGCTTGAAAGGCATTGTTGCAGAATCGCTTGATAATAGGGATAATGCCAGGTTTGTTTCCTTGAAGAACTTTAACATTTGCTGTATCCGTTGACGAAACGCGGCAAAGATGACCAAAACGGATGCGGTAAGATGAACAGTCGTGACTCTTACCATAGTCTTTTTGTCTAACTTTTTGTAATTTATCACGGTTAATTTGTAATTTGATACTATCTTTCGCAAGGTGTTGCCTTCTTGCCGTAAGAAACTATGAAATTTTGCTGTATCCAACATGAACGCTACATCGATGGTGGAGTGTGCGTTGTGCGTACAATCAAATGAAGGCGCCAGAACGAGGCACGCATTTGTGCAATGGAGAATTTGCATACACTTTTTTATTGCTTCATTTGAAAGTGATTAAAGAGCTGATTTCACAGTATTTTTTATAATTTTTTTATATGGAAAATAGTATAAAAATATATTCAAAAGTGAGAAAATGCACCGCCTAGTGACGTCATCTGGCGGCATTTCCCATTTAAACACATGTATTTTAGCAGATTAGATAATTTGGTCACATCTCCTCCAATAACTGTTCAATTCATGAACCAAGAGTATCCTCATGTTGAGTTTACTCAGTAATTTCCACTTAAACACGAAATTCGTCAAATTTCAGACACCTGCAACTTCTCTATTAAGCCCGAGATTTGCAAAAAAATTCTACGGGTTTAGGTGACCTCCCGATTTTTTCGATTCTTATCTCTTGATGGCAGATAGAAAATATATGCAAAAATACGTTTATGCAATCAACTCAAAACCGTCAAAAATCGAGGTACGCACTTTTGCAGTTTCACCATCGATATCTCTCATTACTTATATAAGTGAAATATGATCTTCAGAGTGAGCGAACACCTAACACTTCTCTCCTACCAGAAACACAGAACGATTGAAATCAGTGAAGATGATTTAGGACGCCTAGAGTGTGTATACTTTGAACTTAAAATTGAAAAAAATCACCTGAATTTCAATGTATGAAAGTGCATCTGGACATAATGTACATCTGCGGAAAAAGTATCTGCACTTTTTCAAGGCGATTTTATTTTATGTTTAAAATAGGAAGGTTCATTGAGAATCAACACTTTTTTCTATCCTCAAATCGATCCCAAAGTTCTCATTAAGATGATTTGAACCCCAGGAAAATGTTTCTTTTTATAATTGCAAGCATCATTGTTAAGTTGATTTCTTTAGAATCTGAAAATTGGTAGGAAATTGAGTTATACCAATGTGCGATTAGCGTTAAAATGTATCTAAAAAGATTTTTTTCATTTAAAAATTAGATTTTTGAGTGTTTCATCAACATAAATGTGCGTTTAGGTTTTCTTTATTTGTAAATTTGACATTTGTGATTTCCACCAAAACTTGTCTAGTTGTGATATAAAATGTGAAAAATTCACGGGTTAAATCCAGTTTATATGCGTTCAAATCATGGCCATGGCGCCTAAAAAATGAAGGCTCTGCGCTTACGTGGCCCGTAAAAATTGCCCACTAAAAATCTGAATTTTCACATCAGGTGATTATTCGAAATTTTCAGCACCACAAGTGAAAGCTTTTTCTATGCTTCACGATTTCATCATTTGTGCTTTTGTCTTCCCCAAGTTACAGCTACCTACTAGTTCTGTTACGAAAACATCTTGCATCTAACTTTTCACTAATTGCGCCGTAATATATAGGCAAAAAGTCAATTTGGCCCTTAAAAAATCTTCAATGGCGCCTAAAAATCAGGTTTGATGCGCCACTTGGCTCCTAAAACTCAAAGGTGGGTTTCGAACACTGATTCAAATATAAGTTTGAACTTCCTTTCCACCATACGGCTCCATGTAACTTTGAAACTTTAAATATAAATATTTTTTAAAACAGCAAAAACTGCACTCATGCCCAAGCCTTTCAAATGGTCTCACTTTTTTTTGAGCTCAGTTTCAACTCGTAAATCACCCGATAAATTATCAGATGAAACAAGGCAGGGCTAAGCGAAACACGGAGTTGAGAATGCGAAAACTAGCCGTAATAAAACTACAAGAGGGTGGTTGTACACTGTTGCCGGATTGCGTGAAAGAATGATACTAAGGTAATTTACGTCAAGGATATATGGCAGGTTATCGCAACTACGCGGCAACTGCGGTGGTAAATTAAGCGCGAGATCATAATAATTGCCGCGACTGACGATTGGCAGGCCGTTGCAAAAGCCCGCGCGTTGAAATTCCCGCCGGTGATAACAAGCGAGAAAATACGGGAACGAAGGCTGTAAATTCAGGGAGATCCGATCGGAACTTTGATTGCTCCGCTAGGCAGGAACAACGTATGTGCTAACATACGTTGACAGATGGATAGCAATACAAGGTGCACTAGGAACATTTCTTTAACGAATCTTTCCTTTCCCAAGTGGCATTTTCCAACGGAATACTCGTGTTTTGAAATGGACCACTAGACAATAAGGTACGAATTTAAGCAATCTGATACATGTTTCTTCAGCAAAATTTCACGTAGAACACGATACGCACAATGAAAATTACTGAAAGCAACTCTATACGAAGGATGATTGATTGAAGGATTCAATGATTCTTGATGCGTGAATTCAAACCACCCACTCATGAAAAATCAATGCTGGGAAATGGACATTGCTCGATTTAGGAGCTTGCTGAAACCATTGCAGTGCGCGATTTGACTCACGTCGAGCTTTGAGTTTCTTGTGAGTGGACAGTTCAAATTCATCGTAACCAATGTGAAATAAAAACGTTAATATCTTCGTTAGGAGTGGGTTTCGGTAATTTTCATTGCGCAAATCTGGTTTTACGTGAAATTTTGGTTAGGAAATATGTATCAGAATGCTTAACTTGGTACCTTGTCTAGTGGTCCATTATATTGCAATTTTACTACGAGTTTTCGGCGATATAATCGCTGGGATATTCTCCGATTAAATCGCAACTGACCGCAATCACTGCTGGGTGGACCAGAAGTCTTGTTGAGACAACGGGAAATCTTTTTGAGAGTGACATGAAAGAATGAATATGAACTGAAAATATACGAATTGAAATAACGGAAGTGCCGTCTGAAACGATGAGATTTCCCGCTGACTCAACGACAGTTCTCGTTCGAACATCATTTATTAAAATTTATTTTATGATCCAACAGAAAAATGTTCTCTGTGTGACTGTATTTCGTTAATTAAAAGGCCCCTTCCCCCTTCACCCACGTTCGCCTTAAAAAAGGAGGAATACAAAGAGAAGAAAGATAGGAGGAAGGATCGGAAGAAAGGAGAAGGAAGGACGCCTTTATTTGATGGTTATTCATGACGATATTGACTCAAACTGCTCATTAGATGCTTTAAAATTTCAACAATTTTCTAAAGAATGCCCCCCCCCCCCAAAAAAAACCTTCTGGCCTTCACGCCGTTTAAAGTGTCTGGATCCACCTATATGTTATTTAGTCTAAAGGTCGAATTCCTACGCTAGTATACCAATTGAATTTACAGGAGCTACAACATTTTCTCACTAGGGGCCGTCCATGAATCACGTAACGCTTCAGGGAGAGGAGGGGGGGTTTAGAGGAGAGCGTTACGCCACTTCGTTTTTACTTATTAAAGGATAGGGACCTACGTTACAAAAAACCGTTACGAGGGGGGGGGGGCTCAAAAATGCCAAAAAATTGCGTTACGTGATTTATGGACGGCCCCCTAAAATTTTCAGATGCATCTGATTTGATTATACTATAAACGAAATTCTCCAAAACATTCCGAGAAAAAATTTCATAGATTTCACAGGAGATTCGCACTTCATCGGAGGAAAGGTAGCCCTTGATCTGCTCATACGTCGTTTTTCCTGAGCATTGAGTGCGGTAGAGGGAGATACCGGGACAAATTCTGCCGTGCTAAGGAAAAACGCCGTATGAACAATCGAGAGTTGCCAAATTTCATTCACTGAAATGTTTATTTTTGAGGAAATTTATGAATATTTTTGTCTGAAACTTTCAGGAACTTCAGGTGAACTTGTGAACAAAATTATCTGAAAAAATTGGGGAAAAAATATTCATCTTTTACCAGGAAAGCACTGGAAAAAAAACATTAGATCTAGAGTCCAGACTCTTAAAAACATTGACAAGAAAAAGGACTCTTGATTCAATCAGATTTAAGCTTAAATCATAAAGAAATCCGCTCAAATTAAGA